CACTGTCCTCAGTTTTCGGGATCTCTGGGACTTTTGGCGGGACCTTTGGGACTTTTGGGACCTTTGGCGAACAACAGAGAACCTAAAGTAACGACTGGGCGAGGTGAAGTGCCAAGGAGACATTGAGCGTGACTGGTGCCTTGGCACATGTGTGTATGGCTGCTGAGCTGTCAGGTACTGCTCAATCACGCATAGGCACTCACTATTGCAAGGTCAACAAATCTTGGGGTGGAATTCCTGAAGGCCAATTCCGTGATGATGGCACTGGCGGAAGAGGTGGTCCGCTTCACTGCAGTGGTAGCAAAGCAGCCTGTTATTGGAGGTGCGTCACACATTTAACTTCCGGGTGACTTCGCGCGTAACTTCGAAGTCATAGATATTTGCAGTCGCAGCAGGGAATTGTAATGGCAGTACGGAAAGAGCGGAGGTTGAGCAATGTCCCATAGATGGTTGAGGAGTCCATAGCGCTTAGGTAAAAGTCAGACTAATGGCTGGGTCACGTTCCTCATCTCGGCACGAGTCATGTCCCGAAGAACATTTGCAGTCGACTGAGGAGTAAGTTGGGTGAGGCACTTTCTCAAGCTCCTCCCGGACAATGCTTTGCACAAGCCCTTGGAATGCTGCTACATTGTGTCCACCGGTGAAGGACGATATGGCGGCGCTTGTACTGAAGGAAGCATCGCTGAAGCGCCTGTTTCATTGTCATCGCTTCGGTGATGAACTCAGCGATGATAGGAGGGGGCCTGTGCATGAGTCCAGCAAGAAGTTCACCACGCTCATAAGATAGACTTGGCCTCAGCCATTTATGGGTCAGCGCGTTTGAACAAGTGTGACATGTCCTCAACAAACATAGCCACGCTTTTGTTTGGCTTCTGAATTGGCTCTGCAGGGCCTGCTCGGCTTTCTCTTTTGTCTTGCAATTCCTGAATGTCTCCCGCAGCTGTCGTTAGAATTTTTGCCATGTGTTCAGAGAACTCTCATGATTCTCATACGACGTACGAGCGTAGTCTTCGAGGGCAAGGTAGACATAGCGCAGTTTCGTTCTTTTGTCCTACTTGTTGACTGCTGTGACTCAGTCGATGTGGTCTAGCCAATCGTCCACGTTCTAGAACGCATCCCCATGAAAGCACTCTGGGATACGTGCTGGATAGACCATACTCGGGTCGGGATGGTGGTCAGGCTGTCTACGTCACTTATGCATGTGACTTGCCCTTGTGGTGGACATTCCTCCTGAGCTCAATAGGCTGAACTCGGGAGGTAGTCCTAGCAAGGGACGGCTGTGCTTAAGTGGCCGGTTTTTTGCTGGCGTCTTCTTCTCTCGTGCTTGCTCGAACGCGCGGAGGAGCTGGGGCACAAGTTCTTCGTCTTCTCCGAGATGCTGACGGCTTGCCATAGAGCCCCCCTCTTAGGAGGCAGCCAGTGCCCGAAGGAGCGACCCCTATGAGCAGGTTGTAGGGTCTGCTGTTGCAAAGCACAATCATCTGGTTTTCGCGAATGGCTTGTACTCTTCGAGGACGGCGTCAGTGTCGAGGAAAGCCGGCTTTATGCTGTCAATGGAGGCACTGTCTTCATGTCCATTTAGCAGCAGAACCAAATGCTTCGGGCAACGGTTGATGACTTTAAAGGGTCCGTCGCAAGGAGGTTGCAGTGGCGGCCTGATTGCGTCATGGCGTACAAAGATGCGGGTGCAGTCGCAAAGTGCATGACTGACGAAACTTGGGTGGGAATGTTGACGTGTAGGAATAAGAGTCACATCTCTCACAGCATTCCTGAGGCGACTGGCATTATCAGCTACGTCCAATGGTGATACCGGTGAGGTGTCGAAAAACTGTCCAGGAAGCCTTAGGGTAGTGCCAAATATGAGCTCAGCTGAGCAGCAGGATGCGTCTGTACGTATCGTTCTGTGCAGGACGAGGAGGACGAGTGGTAGTCGCTCCGTCCAGGGTATCAATGACTGGAAGGCCATGAGCGAAGCGTTGAGTTGGCAGTGAAATCGCTCAACCATGCCATTCGACATTGGGTGGTAGGCCGTCGTTTTGATGTGGTTGACGCCAAGCGTTCGGGACAAGGTGTGGAAGAGCGCGGAGTCAAATTGACCACCTCGATCTATTGTGATGGTCTTTGGAACTCCGTAGCGGCTTATCCACACGGTGATGAGTCTGTGGCAACTGACTCTGCTGTGATGTCGGTGAGGGGTAGTGCCTCAGGCCACCTGCATGAACCGGTCTACGCAGGTTAGCATATACCGGCTGTTTTGCGATGGGGCCGGAGGGCCTACGAGGTATAGGTTCACATGATTGAACTGCGAGTCGGGAGGTGTAAATGTATTCAGTGGGCTGACCGTGTTGCGCTGGACTTTGGTGACCTCGCACTTGAGGCAAGCACATGTCCAGCGGCGGACGTCGATGTTCATTCCGGGCCATAGATATCGCCCCGTGATGAGACACTTAGTCGCACGTATACCGGGGTGCGTTAAGGAATGCTAGGCATCGAAGGCTCTGTTGCAAAATGGTGCTGGCACGTAAAAGAAAGGAGAACTGGTAGAGATGTGGGAAACGAGGGGAATCGCGCAGCCTAGAAGTTGGAGCTCTTCGAACTTGAGGAAATTGTCTTGGAGTCGCAACACCTGAAGCTCGCTGTCATCCTGTTGTGCACTAGCCATGGCTGCAAAATAGACTGGTGGGCGCTCATTCATAGTTGCATTGGTTTCTATTCGGGAAAGCGCGTCAGCAATGAGGTTGTCGTTGCCATTGATGTGCCCACTATCACTTGAGAATTCCGATATGTAGGCAAGCGGGCGGATGTCACGTGGGGTGTGGGCAGAGTTGGTAGTGCTCGATTGACATGTAAGCGGCTTGTAATCGGTGAGGATATGGAACTGCTGACCTTCTAGGAAGTGTCGAAAGTGCTTGACAGCCAAATAGGTCGCAAGCAGTTTGCAACCGAATGTGTTATAACGACGCTCGGTCTGTCAGACCTTCCGTGAAAAAAAAGTGACTGGCTGCCAAACTCTGTCGACCAACTGCTGCAAGACTTCTCCTATGGCGACGTCCGAGGCGTCCACTGTGAGTAACGTGATGGCAACGCTCTTTAGATGCGCGAGGAGCGTTGGATTAGCCAGAGTTTCATTGATGGAACTGAAAGCTGTCTCTGCATCGCCCGTCCAGAAGATGGAAGCGTTGGGCTTCATTTGGCCGGACAGAAGGGCATGGAGTGGTTGCAAGGTGGCATTGCAATTAGGAATAAACCTCCAGTAATAGTTGGCAAGCCCGAGGAATTCACGTAGTTTCTTGGTAGTTGTTGTTCATGGAAACTGCAATATAGCTTTAACATGCGCTGCTGGTGGTGAGATCTCATGCGAATCCACGTGATGGCCAAGGAAGTCCAGTGGGGAAACGCCGAACTCGCTCTTTCGTCCGTTGATGACTAGTCCATATTTGCGGAGACGTGTGAAAACCTGACGCAGGGGAAGTTAGTGATCTTCTGCAGTGGTGCTGAAGACAAGAATGTTGTCGATGTACGCAAAGCAGAAGGCCAAGTCATGAAGTAGCTGGTCCACGAACCGCTGAAAGGTTTGTGCAATGTTTCGTAGACCGAAGGGCATATGCATGTATTCAAACAAGCCAAAAGGTGTTATTAGGGCAATCTTCGGTATGTCGGAAGGCTTGACAGGTATTTGGTAGTATCCTTTACTAAGTCGATTGTACTGAATACGGTGGAACTGTGCAACAACGCCATGAAGTCTTGGATGTGCGGCATTGGATGGCGGTCCGATAACATCACTTAGTTGGGGGCACTGGTAGTCACCACATGGTCTCCAGTCACCTGAGGGCTTGGAAACCATGTGTAGCGGTGACGACCAGGCACCGGAAAAGGGGCCAATGTATCCGAGTTCAAGCATGTGCTTGAATTCTTGGTGTGCAATCTTGTAGCGTACAGGAGCGATACGACGAGCACGTGCGAACACCGGTGCTCCTTCTGTCACTATGTGATGAGTGGCATTGTGGTGTATCAGGTCTTCAAGCGATGGAGCACGAAAGAGGTAGAAAATTCTTGCAGAAGTGTAGACCACGATGGGTAGACTTTGGCTTGAGCTTGCAGAAACGCAAGGGTGGCAAACTTGTTGTCGCGCCTTAAACTGTGAGGAGGGTCTCAGAATCCACGAGACGGCTATGTCGTAGGTCTACCACAAGCTTAATGTGCCAAAGCAAATCTGCACCGATGATGGGTACACGCATGTCGGCGATTAAGAAGATCCACCAAAATGTGCATCTCAGGCCGTTCTCAAGCATGACAAACCTCTTTCCGTAGGTCCGTATGGTGGAATCATTGACCGCGGTGACAGGCGGCGAGGTCTGGCGTTATCGGCGATCCTCCAACGTAGGAGGAACAACACACACTTTAGCACCTGTGTCGATGAGGTAGCGGACTTCGGTGACGCAGTCCGTAACGTGGAATAGGCGGCTGTATGTCGGGCCTGAAACACTGGCTGTCGTCAGTGCGTGGCCCGTGCGTTTCCCGCAAACTGGCATTGCTGTTTGCACTGACAATCTTGATCTCCATATTGGGGGTGGTACCAGCAGACGCTGAGAGGCAGACTTGGCAATCTTTCGCGGCTTTGGCGCCGTTGTCGTGACCCGTTGTGGCGGTAATCTACCTTGAGCACGCTCAGTTCGGTGTTTAACTGATCCACCTTGCCGTTGAGCTTGAAGAAGGCGGTCCAAGCGGTCGTCACGGACTGGCATAGAAAGGGTAGATTCACGTGGTCTCTCGATCACAGATATGGACGGGGCGCCGATATCCATAACCTTGTCGGCTTTCCGCGCTAGTGAGTCAAGGGTTCCTGTAGACGATACACTCTAAGTCATCTGCAGCTGCTGTGGCAGTCGCTGTAAGAAGAGTTTGCGTAGGATGGATGCGTCCAGTGCAGCAAAGTGGTCCCCAATCAGGTGTCGCACGCGACGCAGAAGCTCCGTAATCGTTCAGTCACCGTGTTCTTCCTAGGTGAGCAGCTGCTGCAGCCTGTGCTGTTCCGACTCAGTTGTCCAGCATATACGCTCGTCGTTAAGGGTGTCGTAGGGGTTGTCAGGGGGTGGAGAACGCAGAATGTCTTTTATGATGGTGTTGACAGCAGGTGGTAAAGCGCCGATAACATAGTTGTACCTCGCTGTTTGCGACGTTACCTGGTGTCGTCGGAAGAGTGGCTCGATGCTCAGAAACCAGAGTTTAGAGTCTGCCTGCCAAAACTCCGGGAGCCTGAGAGTAGCGACGACAAGGTCAGGTGCCGTGGGATTTGGCGTGGCGTCGCTGTTGGGTGTGGTGTCCATGACCAGCCGAACTGAACGGGGCTGAAGAAGCAGAGTTGGCCGTGACACTCGGTGCGTCGACGAAAGGACGAGTAAGTGTGCGTCGCCACTCAAAGTCCGAATCACCACTTGCACCACTTGTAGGAAGACTTGTGGCGTTTAGTTTCCTACATTTTTTTTATTTATCCCTGCTCTGGCATGGACATCCACAGACGCTGTTGGTCTTGCTGGCGTCTTCCTTTCTCGTGCTAGCTCCAACACGCTGAGCTGCTGTGGCACAACTTCATCGTCTTCTCCGAGACGTTGACAAATTGCCATAAACATTTCTTTCTTTTTTTTCTTCAAATACATGGCTTTTCGATGCATGGACAAGTGGCAACCTCCCGCGGTGGCTCCAGTAGTCACCGAGCGTGCCATGCTCAAATCAGCTAATGGCTGTGACGAGTGATTTTTGAGCTTGTGGCATCATTTACTGAGAGGAGAGAGCAATTGTTAGCTGACTTTGAGAATTTATTGTGCCGCGTGCTGCTTAGAAGGCAGCGTGCTGCTCACTAATTTGGCTCGCGTGTTCTCGGTAGCTTCGACTTCTGATAGGCAGCATTTGCTGACTATGCTCAAAAAGTGTTGCAGGGCCCCTTTAAACTTGAAAGAGGCCTTCGCGGCAGAGCATATTTTTTTTGAGAAGGTGCTTTGTGGCTTAGCACCCCATCGCTGCAGAGAAACCACCTTTATAGGTGGATATATGCAGATTAGTATACACCTAATTGTTCATTGTGAATACTTCGAAATTTTCAATAATTTAAATTTGAATGAAAGCAAATTGTAATACTGTAATATTCTACGAATATATAAGATTATTTGGACAAGCCTAATCATAGTAAAATATCAACTGTGAATAATAATTGGAAGGTATTTTACAGCAGTTTTTGAATTTTTGAAGTATTGACACTATGAGAAGGGACCTCGTGGTGACCCTTTTTTTATTCCTATTTGTCACCATGCTGCAGTCAGTAAAATAACTTATAGTGACGGTATTTTTCTTTTGCCGTGCTTGTTTGAGCAGTTGACCCACCACGGCGGTCTAGTAGCTAAGGCACTCGTCTTCTGACTCGCAAGTCCCGGGATCGAATCCCTGCCATAGTGGCCGCATTTTTGATGAAGGCCGAAAATGCTTGAGGCCCGTGTGCTTAGATGTAGGTGCACAGTAAAGAACCCTAGGTGGTCAAAATTTCTGGAGCCCTCCTCTACTGCATGTCTCATAATCGTGTAGCGGTTTCGGATCACTAAATTCCAACAATTATATAATAGCTCCAGCAGTGTATACTTCTATGTGGCTGGTCCGTAGTGTGTTGCCATGGCACACATGTGAAACACTGCCGTCCTGTTTACTATTCGGAAGAACTTCAAGTGTGTCACAGTTTGCTGACGTGGTCGATAGCTGCACACTTCAGGTGGCGATAGTTGCACCATTGCGGCTTGTTGTTTTTGGGGCTCTCTCAAACCGAAACTAAAACTGGTCAATAATGAGGAGCCTGCCGCAAATACGTGCAATGTTATAACTAACAGGTCCCCAGCAACACATTGCCGCACCGCAGTGGTCTAGTGGCTAAGGTACTCAGCTGCTGACCCGCAGGTCGCGAGATTGAATCCCGGCTGCAGCGGCTGCATTTCCAATAGAGGCGAACATGTCGTAGGCTCGTGTGCTCAGATTTGGGTGCACGTTAAAGAATCCCAGGTGGTCGAAATTTCCGGAGCCCTCCGCTATGGTGTCTCTCATAATCATAGGGTGGTTTTGGGACGTTAAACCCAACATATCAATCAAATCATCAATCAAACCAGCAACACATCGCAGCAAAAAAAATGCGAGGCCAAAGATTTTGTGTCGGTAGCTCCTTAGGCTAATCCTGGCAAGTACATTTTTTGAGTAAGTGGAGATGGTTTAGCCAGTTGGACGATGTGTATTTCCACATTGGACCAATGCCCGTTAAGCCAATTAGGGTAATCTGGTTTAAGCAAATGCCAAACAAGTGAATTTTGAGCTAGTTGAGATTGCCTAGTGAGATGAATGATCGGTATGTCTAAATAAGACCATGCAGATTAGGCTGGAGTAAGATAATCTGGATTAAGCTAACAGTAAGCAAGTAAAATCTGTTTGATTGATATGTGGGGTTTAACATCCCAAAACCACCATATGATGATGAGAGACGCCATAGTGAAGGGCTCCAGAAATTTCGACCACCTGGGGTTCTTCAACATGCACCCAAATCTGAGCACACGGGCCTACAACATTTCCGCCTCCATCAGAAGTGCAACCGCCGCAGCCGGGATTCGATCACGCGGCCTGCGAGTCAGCAGCCAAGTACCTTAGCCACTAGACCACCGCGGCGGGGCAAGTAAAATCCGAACAAGTTGAAATTGCCTAGCCAGTTAGATTACAGTACGACTACATTGGGCTCATGCAGATTGAGTCAGATTAAGCTAACCTGAATTGAACAAATATCGAACGAGTAATCCTGAGTGAATAGAGATTGCATAGCTAATTGTTATTTGAGGATGATCATGTCAAGCCAACTTAGATTGAGCTGGACTAAGCTAATTTGAATTAGGCCTATAACGAATGAGTCGGTTTTATGACCTGTCGTTTATTCAGTAATATATTCTTATCATTGTAAATTTTGGTACGCATCAAGCTAATGAAATGGCCGTCAAGAGCTTCATGATCGGGTCCTGCGTGTAAGGGTACACATGATGTGCATGACATTACTTTTGGTTATAAGTTCATTGTTCACCATGCGCTCTTATACCTTGTCGAATTTGGTGCACATCAAGTTAATAATGCTTTTATGGCTGATTGACCAGGTCATGTATGTCATTAATGTTTGTCATATTTTCATGTCATGCCTCGCCAATTTTGGTGTACATTAACGAATTGGTTGCGAGAACACTAAGACCTATGTAGCCAGTTAAATGGATAGACCTAGAGATATGCTCAAAATGAAATTGGTTTGTGATGAAATGCTTTGCTTTTAATAGTTATTGCCTAACAATTAGTGCTTTTAATAATTAATATTAGTGATTATAATTATTTTTGCAAGTCTGACTGTCAAAACGGATAAGCTGAATTAATTATCATGCTTTCACTGAAAGTGATGCATCAGTGCAAACGCTAGCGAACAGAATTGTTTGAACCAAAATGGCACTCTAAGGCAGTGTGTCTACTCTGTGAGCCGGAAGATCACATTGAGGTGCCATTAGGTGTCATCTTGTCCACCTCTGTGTTTCCTCTCCATACTGAATCCGAGGCTAGGTCGAAGCTAGTTGGTGCAGTGACATCATGAATAGCAGTGGAAGCGCATTTCGATGTCCTCATTCTCTGCTGCATTCTTTGCATGCTGTTGTGATGAACACTGGCCAATCAGCTCAACCTCCAGACGGTTGGGCCTATATGCAAATCCACTTCACATTACCCGAGCAGAAGAACCTCTGAAAATAAATACAGAAGAACAGGAGTTAAAAGTAGTACATCATAAGTGCCCCGCTACCTTCTTTGGGAGCTTTCAAATATGCAGCCTCTTCCCTCCTGCCTCCATTTTCTCTGTACTCATTCGTCCCAACAAGGGCGAATCAAAACAATGAATTCATACGTATTCAGTTTGGTTTGGGAAAACGTTTAATAAAGCATTTAATTAGAAGCATAGGTGTGCATTCATTATTCTCAGTAGCTCTTCTGCCACCATCTTGAATCTTTATATATGACTGAGAAAGAACCCAAATCTTATCTAATTATCCTCCAGTGCAGAAAGGATTGCTCGGGATTCTTCGTTATGCTTAAAAAAGGCAAAAAAAAAAAAATACCGGGTAACTCTGAATATATAGTGCCCCTCTCACATTTTTTCCCTCCCTATTTTTCCAAATGAATATGTGTGTACAAACTTGGTCACGTTTTTCATCTGTAAGTATCGTAAATATTAGATTTTTTGTTTATTTCGGTGTGAATAGAAAAGGCTCAAGGGGGAGGGGTAGTGTCAAACATCATTCTTGTAATAGCTCAGATACCAATGCCCAGAGGAAATTGAAAGAAGGCTGTGCTTCCTATTCATCAGGTTACGACAAGGAAGACTGGTCTATAATTCCGTCGCCGTGTCTTCCCAGCCCTGAGAATCTGGACTTGCCTCCTGAGCTCATCCAAGAGACGCTGAATTATTTTGGTGAGTGGAAGCAGCCGTCACACGAGATGCCTAAAATGCACACCGTAATGGACAAACTGCTTGTTTGTATGGCAAATTTTTGAACATTGTGTGAATGCGGTCAGGCGTAGTGTGTTTTCTGCAAACATATGAAAACCGTTCCAACTTTGAAAAGGACATGGTTGTTGAAATGCATTAAATAGTAATCCTTGTAAATGGGGTCTCTCTGGTCATTGTTTCATCTCGAGTTGAGCTTCCTATCTTGCCTGTAATGTTATAAGGAAGAACTTGTAATGTGTCTAGGTGGCCAACATAAAATTTGAACATTTTTGTACTTGGCTGGCATAAACCACCTGTCCGTCCACCAACACTATTCGCCAAACTATCTGAGCTATTTCGAAAGCATTAAACTGCTGCATGCACTCTTGATACCTAGATGCATTATGGTGCACAGATTTTTTTATTGAAGCCTTCCAGAATAAGGAACTGTGGTTATTTAGCGGAAAATGTGGACTATTTTTTCTCATAAGCCTGGTAGCATCAGCTCGGTGCAATGTTCATTGTTATTTAGGACATCACAGTTCTTTGCAGTTATTTTTCATGCAGATTTTTCATGCAGTGTGAATGTATTGCCATGCCCAAAGATATTAAACTACAGTTCATGCACAAAAAGTCTCGACTTAAAAGATAAACTAGAGAATAAGGGAGGTAGAAAAACAGACTTTCTCTGCGCAAGAGGACTTCTGCTCTTGTGTTCAGTTACTTGAGCTACTTCAAAACGTCTTCCGTTCTTTGTTATAAAGTAGACGAGTCAGCATTTCATAATACAAAAGAACCGTGCTTTCACGTTACAGCCCTGCAACAGCCTGTACTGGCTGTGCACTTTCTTGGGTTTTTTCATCATTTACTAATACTGCAAGCCACAAAACCTCCCACAAAACAGTATTGGCAAAGGGTCTACTACAAAGAAGGTGCATGAAAGTAAGAACAGGGCGAGGCAGAATTATGCACAGTAAACATTGGAGGGCCTAGAAGTGGCGAGCGCCACTTCACTTCACTTCACTTTATTACCTTAAAGACCCCTCAAGGGGGTGTTATATAAGGGGGGGGTTGTACAGAGATGTAACTAATGCCGCAGTTTATTAACGAGACAGGTACATAGATACACTTTGAACAAAATGTGATGGACAAGTAATAGAAACGATGTCGCGGGGAAGGCCATTCGATTCTGCAGCTGCACGGCAGAAAAAAGATGCAGGAAAGGTAGCGTTGCTAGAACGGGGTCGGGAGACTTGATGTGGATGGCCCGTACGGGGAGAAATGCGCGTGGCGGGAGCGATGTAAGGAGGTTGGCTGAAAGAACTGTGATAAAGCTTGTGGTAAAGTGATAGTGTAGCGATTCTGCAGCGAGACAAAAGAGTGGTCAGCCCAGATTCATTTTTAAGGGATGACACACTGATATCATATGAATAGGAAGAATGAATGAAACGCGCAGCACGATTTTGCACTGCTACGATGGTGTTTATTAAGTAAAATTGGTGAGGGCTCCAAATGGGTGATGCGTACTCAATTTGGGTCGTATTAGTGGTTGGTAAGCCAAAAGTTTTACGTGATAGGGTGAGTGATGCAGATGGCATTTTAAAAATTCTAATGACCGGTTAGCCGATGAAATGATATTAGTAATATGCGTGCGCCAGGAAAGATCAAGGGTTAGTGTTACGCCAAGGTATTTATAAGAGTCACTTGTTTTGACAGGTATGTTAGCGATTTCATAGGAAAATAGGAGCGGGTTTTTGCAACGGGGAAAGGAAAGTAATTTACATTATTTAGGATTAAGGGTCATTAGCCCGCAGTTATACCAGTCTAACACATTATTGAGGTCATTCTATAGGGCAATTTGGTCAGAAGTGTTATTAATTTTTCTGTAGATGACACAGTCGTCAGCAAACAAGCGAATGTTGCATGGTAAATTGTTAAGCAAGTCCTTGATATATATTAGGAATAACAGCAGACCGAGGACAGACCCCTGTGGTACGCCGGTCGTTACAGAAAGCGAGTTAGACTGGACATTGTTAAGGGAAGCAAATTGGGAGCAGTTAGTCAGAAATTGGGCAATCCAGTTTAGAACGTCGGGTGTTAGATTCAGTTGAGAAAGCCTCATTAGTAGGCGCTTGTGGGGTACTTTGTCAAACGCCTTGGTGAAGTCAAGAAAGATAGCATCTGTTTATAGGTTAGTACAGTTGAGCGTGCTTATAATGAACCTGAGCATGATGCAGCATTTATTCGTTACTATATCCCGAAGTTCGTCATAAATGAAACACAGCTTTTAAGAAGGGACGCGGGTCTTAGAAGGGTAAAAAATGATTAAAAAATCGGTTTTTTGCAAAGCTTATTTTCGAGGCGTTCGTACTTCTAAGCACCTACTGTCAAATTGCTAATGCTGAATTCAGTCGGGAAACGCGATAAAATCGGCCTTCAATGCACCGCGGTTCGACTGAAATGCTCCCAAAAGAACAAAATTTGTTCGAACTTTTCGTGCGCGCGATGTACGTTGTAGCAGCAGCGGACCAAGCGCCGCCATCTTGGGCTGGATTTGAAGCTGTTTTCTTTATGCACATTTTGTGTCATCGAAAAATGGTGTCGCACATACGGAATGGCTGCTGTCGCGGGTTTTACGAAGGTCGTTTCCAGATCTCCGGTTGGCTTTCACGAAGCGTGCCTTTCAAGCGCGCCTTTTCAAGTATCCCATTGGCTGGTGTGACCGATGCGTCATCTTTCCTTTTCTTTTTTTTTTTTGCGTTCGCCTCTGCGGCTATTTGTTAGTGTGCGCCTGCTTTTATGATCATGGGTGTTTCTCGACACACTGTGTTTCCGCTTTGCACCGGTACTTTTTTACCGCTATCGAGATGCCTAGAGACTCTCGCCTGAAATTATCAACGCGACAAGCTTTTGGAGGCCGTAAAAAACGGCCTTGGAACAAGAAGGCGCCGGCTACAAGTGCGCCTTTGGCAGCCGAGTTGGAGTCGCGACCGGACCCGTTGGATCTGCCGGAAACTTTAACGACGCTGTCCACTGCCGACGCTGTGAGGCCAAGTTTGACGTGCGATACATTTCGGATTGATGCTGTGTACTACTCAACGGTGGAGCAGGTGCAGCGAGTTGAGAAATCGGCACAAACGAGGACCGTTTTGTCGGGGAAGTAGGCTACCCAGCGAAAGTTCGATTTCCGGTAGCGCCTACACAGCCAAGGAGCTCGGAGTTGACGCGAGCGCTGATGACACTGTCATCGGTGAACAGTGACATCATGACTTGTAGCTGAAATTGCGGCACACGTCATCGCAGGCACGCAGAATGCCGTGCAAAAGAAAATAGACTTTTTTGGGCCAAGGTGTTGACCACTGAGGTCAACACCTTGGCCACATCGACAGCACCGGCCACATTGACTTTTTTTTTTATAAACGGCTAAAGCCACCTAAATGATGCAATTGCAAGATTGCAGAGAGATTTTTGTACTCCTGCCATGATCCTTTCTGTCAGCAAAAAATATGCGTAAAAAATTCATGTGCATTCGATTTTCCAGACATTTTCATGGTCCCTTGAGGGTTCGGGAAATCAGAACGTCGACTGTATATTTTACTGGCTCAGCAACTTATTACCCAGGCCAGCATGCTACCTAACAGCTAGTCGTTTAAGCCACATTCCCCATGGATTTTCCAGAACTCCTCAACAGCTTTGTCATGGCGGGGTTCTGGTAATGCTTTCCACATTGGAAGAATTTTTTAGAAACGATTCCTAGGGTGGAATAAGGGGCATTTTCTTTTGTTTTGCAGGGGAATAAATGGGGAACGTGTGTATAGAATTTATGGTTAAAGATTCTTATAGAAATTTTCCAGTGCGTGTCGAAACGTGAAATATGATTTTCTCAGCTTCACATTTTTCTGCCAACTTGACCAGCCTTATGGAACTTTTCATCATCTTATTGCGAAGTAATTTTTTAAAAATTTTATGCCGTTGAACTCGTAAAAAACAGGACTACGGGGCTATGCTATTTTTTTGTGGCTGAGAGGAACATATGATATGTTAGGAACGATAATATGAGCTAATTAAGTTTCAACATTGTGGAGCATCAGTGAAAATATTTATATGATAATGTATCTCAGTGACAATATAAATAGCATAGCTCCATATGGTGGGTCTCTGGCTACAGCTGCATCCTAAACAGAACCTAAAAATATTGAGGGAAAGTGTCTTAACGATCCGTAAAAAATTACATAATTACACATCACTTATGCTCTCACAATTTTATAACTAATTGATGTACATTAAAACTAATTACATTTTTGAAAATAGGAGGAAGGAATACATATACACATCTAATTTTATTACATTATCTCCAATAATAAAAATTTTCATTTCAAGACCAGCGTCTCCCCTTAAAAATTTGCAAGCGAAAACCAAACCTTTAGTTTTTGCGAAAAAGTCTGTAATGCACGTCTGTTTCGACAGCGCAGATGTGATGAGTACCGTCTCGAGTTTAGTTAAGGCAGCAGCGTGTTCTTCGCTGAGGTTCTTAGCATATACAAGCTGCCGGAGGCTATCTATGTAGTCGATCGCTACAAGCACGCTCGTGGTCGCTGGCTCCAAAGTTTTGTCGTCATATGATTCCTCCGTATCACTCTTGCCGCGCACTTCATTCACTATGCCCTCATCCGTAGACGGCTCCGCAGTGTCGGCATCATCATCGGCCGTAATGAAGTCATCCCAGCTGATGTCCAGCTCTCTCAAGTCGGAGTCGACGACGCGCTGCCACCAATTGGTGGATCGGTCCTCTTTGGGGTTTTCAGGCTCAGCATTGGGTCCGGCGTCAATGAAGCCGGCTTTGCAGAAACAGTTTTGCACGCATGTAGCCGTCACCTCAATCCACGAAGCCTTCAGCATCTCCAAAGCTGAGTACAAGGTCACCCGAAGCGGCAGGTTGGCTGCCGGGCGGTCAACAGCTATCAGCAAGCGCTCCACAACGCGGTGCCTATAATAACTCTTGAACGCGCAAATGATGCCCAACTCCAGTGGTTGCACCTTAGATGTTGTGTTGGGCGGCAGGAAAAGCAGGGTTACTGCCCTGCCGTCAGCGAGGCTTGTACGTGGTACGTGGAGCAGTTTTCGACCACGAGCAGCACGCGCCTGTCTTGCTTGAGCATGTCTTGATCAAATTCGCGCAGCCACTCTACAAATAAATCGCATGTCATCCACGCTTTGGCATTATGTCTGTAACGAACAGGCACATATCCCTGAAAGCAACGCGGCTTTTTCGATTTGCCGATTACAAAGGGCACGCGCCGGTCGCTGCCATGCATATTAGTGCGCAGAATTGCTGTGACGCGCACTTTGCTATGTTTGCCGCCAGCGCACGAGTCACTTTTCATGGTGTGAGTTTTTTTCTGGCAGCATCTGATAAAATAGTGCAGTTTCGCCTGCGTTATAAACGTCTCGCTCCGCATAGCTGAAAATGGTGTCTCGATTTGCTTCCAGCCACGAGGCAACGTCATGGTCGCTTGCCGAGGCCGCATTACCAACTATCGATTTAAACACAATGCCATGGCCCACTTTAAACCGATGTAGCCAGCCATTTCCGGGGAAGAAGTCGGGAAAGTCCAAAAGGAATGCAAAGTCTTTCGCTTTGGCCAGCATCATAGGACCGCTTACAGAAATGTTCCGAGCACGCGCGTCGACGAACCATTTCAGCAGTGCGTCCTCCACGTCCACGTAGATAGCCCTCTGCAAGCGCTTTCTCTCCGTCTAGTTGTCGTCGACACTGATGATCTTTTCCTTGTTTTTCAGGATCGTCGATATGGTTGACTTGTTAACCTCGTGCTTTTTAACCAACTCACAGTTTTTCACCCCTTGAGAGAGCTCTGTTAAAATGGTTCGCTTCGTAGCTATGTCCAGCGCTTTTCGTTTCGTGCTACAGTCCGCCATCGTGACCGCACGCCACCACAGAACACCTGAACACTAACAGCTAGTGAGCAAGAAGCACACACGTGGCGCACGTAGAGTACGTGTGATAAGACAAACAAGCACGCGTGTAACTTCTCTCTTGTTTCTACTCAGAAAAAAAAAAAAAAAAACGGACGCGGCAGTGTCGCGGAGATAGATTCTTGGGGAGAAAGAGGGTTAAGAATGGGGTTGAGGGCCGCGATGGAGACTGGCGAAGGAGCTGCGAGGAAGGGTAGTTCGGGCAGCTTACTAGGAAGAGGAGCCTGCGTCGGCTGTACGCTCAGTCAGCATGCGCACGGAACGAATCGCTAATTGTCGAAGTCGGTGGGGATTGGGGACAAAGGACGGAGGGGTGCATTACAAAACAGCAGTCGGGGAGAGCGACAACTAGACGGTCACGGGGCAGGGTCAGTGTTTAACAATAGGAATCTATGGGCACCTCACCAATGGCTTATCCGTGGTCGAAAGTGGTGTTTCGGGAGGTCGCTGGAGCGCTGACTCCGTTCACTGTAACCGATCGGCAGGGCTCAGAGACGTTCGTTGTAAGTGTGATTTTGTGCGATAGAGATAATGTATAGTTCCACGGTCACGCGGGTATTGTTCGTTTTAAGCGAAAGTTCGTTATAAGTGGGGCTGTTATATGTGGGCTCGACTGTATCGAGGCTAGTATGCAGGTCATGAAGAAGAAAAGCTAATTGGGTTTCGCATGAAAGGCCTTTTCAAAATCCATGTTGTGAGCGATTAAAAAAAAAAACGGTTGAAGTCAAGGAAGTACATGATTTGAGAGTATATGATATGTTTCATGAGTTTGCACAACACTCTGGTTAGTGATATGGGGCGGTAATTTAGCGGACAGTCTCTGTTACTTGATTTGTGAACTTGAATGACCTCCCCAAACTTCCAGTCGTAAGGCAGAATTCCTGTGGACAGGGATTGGGAAAACAGCAATAGCGAAAATTCGGCAGATATGTGCTTTGTGTTTTTTAAGAGCTTGGTATTTATTTCGTCCGTACCAGTAGAGGATGACAATTTCATTTTATCTATTAAAGAAACGATACCAGAGAAGCTTATGCTTATGGGCGGCATTTCAGGCAGACTAACAGAGAACAGTTCTGTATCAGTAGGGTTAGGTTCGTTCATAAAGACCGAATGAAAGGCTTCATTAAACAAATTCGTACTTTCAAAACTACTTGCTTCTTGACCAGACTGGTTAGTTAAGATAACAGGGGGGTGTCATGTGGGTTTACAACTTGCCGAAATTGTTTGGGTGAATCTGCGAGGATTTTAGGCAGTTCACTGTGAAAGAATGAATACTTTGCGTTGCACACTTCTCTTAAATATGCTTTTTCTGCAATGTTGTACTTTTCTCATGCGCAAGCATTGTTTCTAATCTTCGCGGCACGAAAAAGGCATTTCGTCTTGTTTACAAGTGTTTATTTAATGATTTCGTAAACTAGGGTTCTTGGAGGGTTGGACGGAAGGTTACCTTAGGGATGAATTCATCAGCTAACTGGTTCAGTTTGTTTTTGAAGAGTAACCAGTTTCCGTTAATAGGTCGATCCCAAAACCCGTCCTGGAACGACGGAAGAAAGGCATCAAGTTCACGAATGATGGCCTCATAGTTCCCCTTGTCATATAGCCGATTTGTTTTACTGCAAGCTTGTCGCGGCACAAGCTTGCAGTAAAACAATTGACCGTGTCGCGGCACAGCCACTGAGCCCACCACACTCTCGGAGTGAACGGACACAGTAGACACGGTCGAAACAAACCAAGTCAATTACATATATTTAACTTCTTTGAAATGATGATGTCGTCATTCAAATTATTATAACATCAATTGGGATCAACACGCTAAAACAACCTTACACAATATTACGATACACTCAACAAATAACATACACAAGGCAGCGAGCGCTTGGCTGCCATGAGGGCACCGGGGACACACCGCGAGACACAACCGTTTGTGCCAGATGCCATAGAGACTCGCTCAATTCTCTCATGCCGCCAGAGGTCTCTGCCGGCGCTACCGATCTAACAACCATGATGATGGTAGTGGGGATGAACGCTCGCAAACACTATGCCACCTACCGATCGATAGTTGTCATCCCTGAATGCGGCTTATGTGTGATACACTTGCGTCATGGGGTGCAAACAACTTTACAGGGGTCTCAGCACCCCACATTTCCCCAACCTTAATTCAAACCATGTCACGAGAAGAAAAACGTGAAAAAAATTCACTACACAAGCTCTCACAAAAGATGGCAACACATGTCCCTAAATAATGTCCATTCACCACGACACTGCCGCCGGTCGACACTGCTGCACTGTCCGGCTCGACGACTTCACTCCAGTACCGGTCCTACAACGGCAACGTTGCCGTCGGCGGGAAGAACCGTCACTCGCGAAGACACATCTTTTGGTTGAAACCAGCACTCTCAAGGGTGCCGGACTGCAGGCAGTTGTGCAGGTCCCAGGCATGTCCATCACCTTATCTCACTACTGCATTCCTGGCCAGTGGCGCTGACGATGTGCAGAAAACAGCCAGCCACAAGTTACATCACTTCCGCTGCGTACATTCCAAACACTCGAAAGAACAATGCAGTAGGGCAAAAGGAAGGAAGCTTTTAAAATAAAACAAAGGTCGCTTTGCTTTTCCCAACTAGTGCGTCACAAGATTTAAAAAAAAGTGAGGGAAGCAGAGTGTAACGCCTCAATGCCACAATCCACCTAGTTGTGCCACGTGCAACAGGCGGCTGCCCAGAGCTTAAGGCCTAATGAGTCACTCAATAACAGCCGGCATCTACCCAGCACCCAGCCTAGGCGTAGAAGGGGCAGCTGCAAGAAGACATCCACTCTGTAAGGTGGCACTATCACTCACCGCACACAGCAGCTTACCAAGCGATTGGTGTCCTGGACGGTGTAACGAAGCCCCGGCGTCGAGCCGCAATACCAGATAGCAATGACGCCCGGCTCCCTGAGCCCAAAAGAGATAGAAGAACCTATTTGCAGAAACTCGGACCACCTACGAAGCTTCTGTACTCACTCGCTTCGGGCTTGGCCTAGAATTCACGTGCTCTAAGCTTTGCTTACCCTGGGATGCAGACCGCATGGCTCGCGTCTCAACTGAACAACATTCTTGAACCAACACAGACAACGAAAAAAACCACTTGCGAGCAGAAAGAAAAAAAAGAACTCAACGTGCTGACAGGTTCAAACACTTTACAACAACCGATATCCTCACTCTCAACAAAGCACACTGTCGATACTAGCAATGGAAGTCCCCCCCTAGGCCTACTCTACCTTGGCTCAAACAAAAGCTTGTACCCAATCGTCAAAACTGTCGTCCGACGCTCCAAGAGCCCCACGTTGGACGCCAGTGTGGGGGCTCGAAATAACGAGCGCCACGCTCTTGCAGTGAACAGACATAGCTGATGCGGTCAAAACAAACCAAGCCAAACACATTTATTTAACTTCTTTAAAACGATGATATCCTCAGCCGAAATATTATAACATCAATGGTGATCAGCATGCTAAAATAACCTTACACAATATTACCATACACTCAACAACATAACATACACAAGGCAGCGAACGCTTGACTCACCACGAGGGCCCCTGGCAGACGGCCAACGGTGCCGTGCACCGGGGACACACCGCGAGAAACAACCGTTCACGTCAGACGCCACGCGCAAAAGAGACTCTCTCAATTCTATCGTGCCGCCAACAAGGCATGCCACCAGGGGTCACCGTGGGCGCTACTGATCTAACAACTATGATGATGATAGTGGTGATCAACGCTCCCAAACATAACGCCACCTACTGTTCAATAGTTGTCACCACTGAATGTGGCTTATGCGCAAGACACATGTGCCATGAGGCGCAAACAACGTTACAGGGGTGTCAGCACCCTCACAACATGCTCTGTCAAAAAAAATTAGATATCACAAGAGTCTGGCTGTTCTGTAGATTACGCATAAAAAACCAGTTAGAGATACAGTAAAAACATGGAGAAATAAGTGACACTGGGAAATGCAAAAGTGTCAGAAAAACTTGGTAACATGTGCTAGTAGTTTAGCGTGCAAGAGAAAAATAAAAACTGTAGATACAGAAAGGAGTATGAAGTTGGGCATGTTGTTAATACAAAACTCATCACTTAGTGCAAAAAGACGCAGCGAAAAGGAAGGGACGAAGGGGAGTGCCCCCCTTCGTTTATGGTGTACAACAAAAGTTTTATTGTGTACAACACAACCAAGTTTTCTGGTAAAGACTCGAGGTGCAACTCAAGTACCGCAGATTGTGAACAACCAATATCAGGTGAAGTCGCATTCCATAGCTCTACTTTTAAAAGAAAAAAAAACGA